GGGGGGGGGGGGAGGGAGGGAGAACAGCGGGTACCGAGCAACGACATCCCGCCACTTCACGTATTGTATAGATAGAAATTTATTGTGCACTTGCAGAGTCTGCGATTTGTACATTTGTAGTCCCCCTCGTAGAGAAGCTCGCAGCTTCGCTTATTTACATCTACGCCGCCTCCTCCCTGTCTTAGGCTCTGTGTACAACGTTATAACTCGTATACGTCACAGACACAACGCGCGTATATATGCGGTAATACTACACAGATATGTACAAAAATACAAAGAAGATATTGGCACACTCGAAACACGCACACACGCAGGCACACACGCACGCACTCACGTGGGGCAAGCAAAGCGCGTATCACATGGCTCAGATTCGCCGAACGGGTTCATCTGCGTTTCGCCCACCGGGCGGTTAACCGGAAAAACGGCAGTGCGCGATGACGGTATTGGTAATCGCGGGCGACATCAACGGGCGACATCACATCGAACGACGAACGCCAAAGGATATACGGCCGGAGTTCAGTCTTGATTAATTTCAACAATAAATAATCCCCGCGTATAGGAAGACGGTACCGTCTCTGTACGCCTCTACGCGGAACGTTTCGCCCTAAACTCGGCGTCCCCTCGAAGCTATCTGATCGTAGACTATTGACGTTCGGAATTACACATTGCAAAGCGTCTCAGCCGGCAATTCCGCTCACCAATTCGCTTTCCTCTCGCCATTTGCTCCACACGCGCCCGATATTACGGATATTACGGTCTTTCTATGATCGAGAGATTCCTAATACGTTTGCTTTTTCCTTCATATGGCGAGTCGAACGGAATTCCATTCCGAACTCCGTCTCGACCGGCGGTTACTCCTTTCGGCAAACCGCCTGATCGAACGACTTTCAAGAGGAAAGTGAGATATATATATATGTTACATCAGGAGAATCGATTACATCTATACACGACCCCTGTCGAAACGCAGAAGTTGCACAAGGGTGCTTAAGTACTACGTCGATATATATACAAGCGTCTCTATCGCTGTCCCGACATTATTTCACTTCCTCGATGTAAGCTCCGAGATGTTCAGGAATTCAACGGAGACCTCCGCCAATAGCGAAACGCCGTATTTTACAAAATTCCGCCCGTGCACGTGCCCGGGTTAAACGTATCGCGTTAACTGAGTGTGAAAGTCTTGCAGGCAGATGATCAATTGACTAAAAGTCGGCCTCTCCTCCGCTGACATCGCCCAGCAATACGCCATCACCGCGAATAGCTCGTCCGGACAATTAATCGGTTGTGCCAGCCTGTAGCCGTCTCGGAGGTAGGACGCCATCTCGAATGGATCGACTTCTACGTACGGCTGTTGCGCCAGTGTCGTCAGTTCCCACAATAAAACGCCGAATGCCCACTGGAATCGGACAAAGTGATGCGTCGTTAGGATAACGGAGATACACATCGCGTACATGTAAATTGCGTTCCAAAGTACTCGTCGGCGACAATTATACTTCGAGTAACAATTCGTCGGCAACGAGTAACAATCAACTTTGCGCGGAGTATCTCGCGTAAATAATAAAAATGTCGGAGTTAGGATAAGAGTGTGTAATATTAATTTTTCTTTAATGCAATGATATAATAATGAAATCATAACAAATAAGATCACGTGTGATTATACAGATGAAAACGACGTTTCTTCGTATCACGTATTACTTACCACGTCGGAGGCTGTGGTGAAGGTCTTACTGAGCAAGCTTTCGATCGCGAGCCACTTGATAGGACGATTCTCATTATCGCCGAGGCAGTGATAATCTTGTGGGAACAGATCCCGGGCCAGCGCATTATCCGTGATCTGTACTCTCAGGTCGTCATCGACGCTGGAAGGATAAGAACAAGCGAACCCCGGATTATTGTCCGCGCCTGAATGATCACACGCACGTTCATTACCGCGTCGTTATTAATACCACGTTACTAATACTTTCCCGAAAGGAAAGTCAGGGCGCAGCCAGCAATTACAGGCTTACGGTAACACACCGGTTATTAAGTCCACTCGCGTAATTAATTCGGTAACGAGACGTAACGACTGTACCGCGTTGGGTACATAAAAAGCTAAGGCTGACCGCGCTCGCGCGCGCCGCTTAAAGCGACGCGTTTAGCGGTAAAATATTTCCGAGCGCCACGACGTTTATAGAGCGATGAAACGCCGAACAACGATAGAAGATATGACTTCCTACGGGCGCGTATGAAGCCGCCGGTGGCGAAAAATCCCCCGACGGTTCTTACTTACACGCAGTTTCTAGCGGCCAGGTCCCTGTGAACGAGTCTCTTCCTGTGAAGGTACTGCACGCCCTTGGCAGCTTGGAGCGCCATTTCGACGACCTCCTGGGTAGTGAGGGCCCTCGGAGGTCCTTCGCTGCTTAATTTGCACCTCAGCAGGAATCTCTTCATGTTTCTGTACCCCGTGTGCGGGTACAGCAGGAAAGGCGCGCTTCTGTCCTCGATGGAAACACCGAGGACCGGAAGCAACGCCGGATGACTGAGCCCGTAGAGGGCTAAACCTTCTCGAAGGAGGAGCGCGACCTTTTCGAGAGAGAAAAATTACCATTCAAACCTATTCCATCAGGCCCTCTCGATGCAGAATCGGGACTCGGTAAGTAAGAAATCATTATTAGCGTTATTCCGGTGACATTTTCTAACGCGTCACCGTTCTCAAATATGTCGTTCTCAATGTTGCACGCGACATCATTGTTAACAGTATCTGACCTAAACGCTAAAAATGATATTTATACAATATGACTTTAATATTTAGGAATATTATGTTATCAAGTAACGGTGTTTATAAAACGTTATGTCAAAATGTTTATAAAATCCAAGTAAAGTCCATGTATAACCCGTACGGAATAACTTCCCACTTGCCCGACGAGAACCAGTCGACGCCTGCGTTTACGCTATCGAACACATTGATCTTCCCATATAAATAATATAATCGCAAGCAACAATCGCGATCGGCATTGATTTTCGCCTGCTTTCGTATTCCCGACGGAAAAATTACGCATTCTTTATCAGAACACGTCATCTCGCGAGCTATACCGCGTTTCAGGAAAGAGCTCTATCTTCTCGACGTGAATTATTCCACGTTAAATATTCAGCTTCGGAATTGAACTCTGAACTTGACAGCTACGTGCATAACACAGGTGTGTTACACATGTGCGTAAACGTACATATTTCCTGTCTGTTTTCCTACATCCCGACTATCTCTTCTGAGGAATTATGCGGACGGAATTAACCTACTTGCGATTGGGATGCGTGCTCGGCGGCAGTTTTCACCAGGACGTCCCTCGGGGTTGAAGCACCCTCTTCGTGATAACTGCCTCGGTACACGCGGCCGAATGTCCCCTCCATTTCGATACTGAGAAGACGTACCCTGCATCTGTGCGTGAAACAAGGGAAATAAATTATTCTAATTAATTCCCACGGCCTCACCGCCTGTACGTTTCTACGTTTTTAACGCGGCTCGCAATACCGAGTCCGCGTGAAGCGGCGTCCACAACGAGAACTTAAGCCTCCGAGCGTAAGAAGCTGTAAGAAACTGGCCGATCACGGCCGAATATCGGGAGAATAATGGATAGTGATCGATCAATTTCTTACGGTTTAAGGCTTAACTCTCACGCCTTAAATTCTCATTGATTCTCACAGACGCCACTTTATCTACTACTTAATGGTTGTCACGCAATCATCCTTGAAATTGACGCTTTCGAATCGACGTTCACCTTTGCACCGTGATCTCCTGGATCCTCTCGTGCAGTTCCCTGCTGGGACGATCGTCCAGTCTCCTGTAGGTCGACCCTGACGCGGCGGACGCAGGTGGAGGCGTTTCCGGTGACAAGAAGGTTTGCGCAGGTCCCACTCCGGTGCCCCTTTCGACGCTGCACGCCGAGCTGAGGCCTCTGGATTCCCTGGAACGAGTGGGAGTCGCGAATGTAAGTCCCTCCGAATTCGCGCACGGAGATCCCCGTGTTTTCCCTCCCCCTTCGAGAACCTTCGTTTCTCACTCACTGAAGCGGATCTCGGTGCCTCCTGGCCTTCTTGTCTCGCACATAGTAGACTATCACCAGGACGAAGATGGCCGCCATAAAGGCACACGCGCATCCGATGGCCGCGTAGAACACCTGGCCGCCGGAAGTGGTGCCGGAAGCGGCGACCAGGACCTCCTCCGGCCTGGTGTAGCTCTTGTCCTTCAGGCAGATCTTCTTCCTCTTGAATTCCAGACTGGTGGTGTTCCTCCTCGACAGCGAGACGTTTATGCGGAGGCTGAGGTCGACCTCCGCGTCGTAAGGGCCGCAGTGCAGCGACAAGGCCCACGTCTGCAGGCCGCTCACCGGCATGTCGCCGGCCTGGGAGATGTTCAACGAGCTGCTCAGCGCCGAAGGGTTGCTGATGTCCACGGACAACGTGTACGGTAGCTGAAAGCACACCGGGTGTCCCGCCCGATCTTATCCGTCGGGTCTCACGAGCGTGCGATTATTTTCGCTAGAGAGAGGGAGCCGGAAAGCTGGAAACACGCCGGCGGAAATGAGCCGCCGATAATGAACGATAACGAGAGGAGGAGCGAAGCGCGGCCGATCTGGCCGCTCGAGCGAGACAAACGGGATCGTGTGTCGGGTGCGCGAAGTGGAAGGTCGAGAAGAGTCCGCGCGGCGAGCGCGCTCGATAAGTGCCGCGCTGAGGCTGTAGTCTTCGCGCGAGGAAGCGGTCGGGGCAGTGGTTGAAATAGATGGAACAATGTCGGAGGACTTGAGGTTTGGCCGACTACCGTCATAATCTCTGGAACGTTGAACCTTTCCTGTAATCTCGAACGTACCATTCTCGGAAGACAATTTACGTCCAGCGGAGAGAAAGAAAGAGTGAGAGAGAGGGTGAGAGGGGGGGAGGGACACAGGACTTCAGCAACAAGAGTGGCGAGAAAACGCTGACGGTAGAGAGATAGAGAGAGATAGTGAAGAGGGGAAGCGTGGAGAGGCTGAGAGTGGAAGCGAGACGACTGATTGCCAGCTCGCAGTGATGATCGGCTAGCCGCGGAGGAGAGTACCTCGTCAACCTGCCGGCTTGTCCCTGCCATCCACCGCGGTCTTTTACGGCCACGGAGACCGCGCTACGCGGATTCCCGGTCCGAGAATCCGCGTGAGGCGAGACGCTTCGCGACGTCTCGCGACAGCGAAACTCTCCGAAGGGGTAACAACGAATCCCACGGGTGTCCCGTTTTCATTACGGGCCGACGATAAAAACCGGTCATATCCCCCGGGACGACTCACGGTGCGTATCCTCCCTCGTTAATCCCCGAAACCGGGCGATGGGGTGGCGCGGGGGTGAAGAAAATCGCCGGTGCGGTACAAATAATCGCGAGTCCGAGTCTGAAATTGAATGCCGCGTAAAGCCGGGGGTGGAGGACTCGCCGATAATTCGACGTGTACAATGTCACGTCCGGGGAACCGCTTTATCGGGACACAATTCCCGGGCACGGCTTGACGGACAGCCCGATGCTCTAAGTACCATTCAGGCCGCGCGGTTTTGCCGCTGAGGTGACGGATGTCTTTGCCGTCGCTCGTCAGTCTTCGCCCTCCTCATCTCCTTCAACTCTCTCTCTCTTTCTCTCGGACTCTCCCCCTGGCTGTCCGCTCTGCGCGCCGGGACTGGAAGAAGTGGATGGACCACTTTGTCCTGCTCCTGGATTCGTCCTTTTTTTCCGCGCATCGTCGACGAGTCAATCGGACACCCCGCCGCATTCTGCCCGCTTTTCGCCGCCACTTTGTCAATGTACCACGGACGTCGACGACGACGACGAGCACAAGTGGTTCGCGGGGATTCGATGATGACTCACGGGAGAGAAGGAGGGAGAGAGTCCGCATTCGATTTTACGCCCCGCGCACGTGAACGATTCGCTCCGAGAGCAACGTAAAATTAATTCGCATGGCAGGGCGCGCCGGTTATCATTTATGCAAGCCGAGAAACACGAGAAGTCGATCGGCAACCCGGGGAACGTTAAGAGGCGAGCCTGAAACTGGAGGGGCTTGCGCAACGCGAGAGAGAGAGAAACGCGGATTCTAATTAAGGGAGCAGAAAAATCCGGGGAAAAAGAAATCCGTCGTAATGAATCGCCTCTCGGGACAAATTGATGTATCGACGTGGTTTCCGTCGCTGAAACCCGCCGAACGTCTCGCCCGTTATTTATCTCCCGGTCTACGCGGCATGTTAAGAGCCTGAGAAAGGAAAGGAACGATATGCCTCGATAATCCTGATAAGTGCCGCGCGCGCTATAAGGACACGGGAGAGAAACGCGAATAAAGATCGGCTAAAGGTCTCGAATGGCTGGGCTCGGTGCGATCACTGAACCCCGGAGAAGGCGAGCTTTCGAGGATCCGCCGGGTCTGAGATCTCCGTTCGTCTCCGGTGTGTCTCGAGTCGCGGTTGACGCGAATTCCTACGTTAACGAGCAATTTCAGCGGTTTCTCAACCGCGGGCGACTTTAATCCCGCGCGAAGAAGCGGTAGGAGGAGACGAGGTGGGAGGGACCGCGTATAAAAATCGGAGGAACGTGAATAAGAGAAGACGCGGAGGCAGTGCGGGAATATCACGCGCACGGATAATTCTTCTCGTCGGACACCTCATTATATCCACGCGAAGATGTTTGCGCTTTTGTTTCCCGCACAACATATATGCGTGTACATCTCATCGGGTATCTCTCTTGCTCCGGAATTTTGCGTTCGATCAATCTCGAAAGCTCTTTCCGGCTCTCCGATTCGCGAGGGCAGCTCTGTGCTGATGTGAGAATCACCGTTTGATTCATTCGCGTCGGGAGATACACGGAATCATTCGTTTAAGGCAATTGGCACGTGATGATACCTCGGGAAAGGTAATAATTAATATTACAGGAAGGAAATCCGTGCTAAATGTTTATGAATATGATTTGTGATGTATAACTTGGACGCCATAGTAAGAGAATATCAAACAAACTTGAGTAACATTTAGAAACTCGTAAAGAAATGTGCGTTTTCTGCGCTTTCACGTGTAATACTTTGCGCTAGGACTGCCCGTGTTAAACAAATGTATGTGTATATATCATATGTAAATAGTGTTAGCTTTGACTTCAATTATGTCGGCTTCGATGTGGTGAAATTTTTTTACAATTTCACGTGCGTAGATCGTGCTTCAATTAATATTAAAATTTGAGAAGATTTCTAGGAAAATCAATTTACGAATCAGCTACCCCAAGCTTTCACTTCTCACTGGGCTCTATATGCTCGTTTTGCGATACGACACCTGTGCAATTCAGCGCTCGCATTAGGAAGTAAGTAAATATATATATATATATATATATATTAGTCTGCTGCAAGAACTTACCGGTCTACCGGAAAGATTCTCCCACGTGAAGTGGAGCTTGTGAACCTGCGCTGGCACGGTAACGACGAACTTAATAGCGTATCTGTTTATGACGCCCTCCCTGACATAAAATAATTGCGCTTCCTGCAGTCCTGGAACAGATAAATTTATCTCTGATGCATTATTCAACGAAGAGACGGGACACACGATATTTATTTTAATTAATATATTAATTTGTTAAGGTGTCAACGGAGAGAAACTAGTTGCACCCGCGTGCGAAAAGACCGGGAGTTACTCTTCCGTATGCATTTCACTCCATAATGCATTAGAAATTATCTGATACAGATTACACGGGTGGATGACTCATTCTTCTCCACTCGTGTTAGAGTCAGCGTAGCGTGCGTTCGTCCCACAAATCTGCGGGAGAGCTAGGTGTGTCGTGACTCGGCCATTAAATGCGTCCGCTCGTATATCTGAAATGTCACGAAAACTCGACGAATATTGGAAAGTGGAAACTTCACACGAGCTACCTCGGAAATCGTTACTCCCGACGTCAGCGTATTTCTCGCGTGGGATTTGTGAGGGAGCGCGCCCCTCCAAGCTATAAGGAATTAAAGGGATTCGCGAAGACTAAAAGAGTCGCAGGGAACTGCAGATAAAGTAGTAGATAAGTTACAATAAAGTAGTTTTAAATTTCGGCAATAAATCTACAGTATCTCTACATAATCGCGATCTATTTCCCGAGCACACCGGCACAAATCGCGTGAGGCGGAACATAAACGCTGCTTTCCTGCCATTTCCCTTTTTCATTTGTTCCGGGAAAAAGAAGGGGAGGGTGAAGTAGAGGCGAGGATAAATCTAGAATCAAATTGTCAGTCGTGGTTTCGCTCTGATGACTCGCAATGGATTCGATCTTTCCTCGCTTTGCAGCAACGTTGCGAATCAATAGAATGCCGAGAACTAAAGAAGATGAAAAAATCACCGTTCGATCTCCACGAGTTGGAACGTATGCAACAATTTTCGGTCAATTCAAAATAATCCCGTACGTTTCAAACGTAAACGTTACTATCGAAATAACTTATTCGAGAAACGAGATAACACACCGCGCGTTCCATAAGAGAGAACAATAATGTATAATAACACAGTAACACCCGGCGGGCGCGTATCTGAAGAAACCGCCGAACTCCCCTTGGATCAGCGTTACCGAACACGCCGAGTAATTAAGCGCGCCTCGTGGAGCCTCGTCAAATAGAATAACAAGTTGGCCGGTGATGCGCGCATTCGCTTCGCTAAATTTTCGCCCGTCCCATCGGACCCCCGCACTTAGCACGCATTATGCTACCGGGCGCGACCCGACCGAAGGTTGCCGGCGCGCGGCAGCTACAAGGTTACGTGGCCGAGTCGGCGAAGAGAGAGTGTGTGCGTCGGGGCAGAGGAGGGACCCGGGACACGGGCGCGCGTCGTGTACTCCCTCGGAGGGACCATCCTCTCTGTATCTGATAGCGTGCTTAACGAGGCACGAGTTGGATTTTTAAGTCACCCGAAGACAATGTGCCGCCGCTGCCTCCACGCTGCGTCTCTCGTGTCTTTGCTTTCGGTTCGCCTGCGCCTTCGGTCCTCCCAGCCCTCCTCTTTCTGTGGCCCCCGGCCTTTACCGGTTTTCTGCATCAGATATCGTGTAGCCACGACCTCGGTGGTGTGCGCCGGTCGTTTCTGCGGCCTAACGCGCCAGCCCTCGCGGCTGCCTTCTCCGTATCGTAAAAAGGACGAAGGACAAAGTCTCTCTCTCTCTCTCTCTCTCACATCGAAAATAATTATCCACAGCCACGGAAAGTTTGTGCTGGACCGTTATCCGCCGGCAAAATCGATTTCCTCCCGCGAACGGTGGTGCCCGAAGAAGCCAACCGACGTGGCGGGAACAACAGACGCAGTTAATGCCTTTGAACGGCGGAATACGGCTAAGCACCTCGTTAACAACAACGCCGTTATATCCTTTTCCCGATGAGAGCAGAGAGAGAAAGAGAGAGAGTCCACGGGCGCTTTACGCATAATACACGACTCAATTCACAAGGATAAAGATCTAACGGGTCGCAATTAATTGCGCCTCGGTACGTCTCCACCAATTCGGCGCGCGCGCACCTATACACCCCGTCTCTCAGGGGGAGGGGGGGAAGTACCTCGTTTCCCCGTGATCGTTAATCCGCGACGGTACACTCGATTCCCCGCGCGGTCGGGAGGTCGGAAGATGAGGCGTAATCCTTCCGACATCAAAGATAACTTCGCCTCGTCATCGGCGACGCGCCGACTATGACCTCGTTACCGCGGCTCGCATCCGCCTCTTATCCGGACAAGAAGGGTGGTGCCACCTCGGCACTCTTCCCGCGCGATTACGCGCGGGAAGTTTGCGCGGGGTGGAAGCAGGTCGCGGGCGCCGAAAGTTTCTTTGATGTCTGGCCGCGCGCGCGAGCCGCAGTGCGACGAGGAAGGCGCGAGTCGGCGCGAAGAAGAAGAATGAGGGAGGGATGTCGAGCGACGGAGGGAGAAGAAAAGCCTTTCAGCGGAGGCGTCGACCCTTGCGAATGCTGCCAGACGCAATTGTCACTCGAGTATGAGGGGGAAGGGGGATTTCAGCGGGCACCTCTTTTTTTCCGCGGGACTTGTAGCACGATCTACCGTTTATCCTGAACAAACAGTGAATTATTCTCGCTCTCCACCCCTCCGGCAGCCGGGATCAAAGATAAGGAGCGAAGAGAATTTCCAGACGACCGTCAAATCCGGCCTGTCCGCGCGCGGATGCGTATCTAAGGCCTCCGGCGCGCGTCACAGCGCGGGGCGATCGACTTTTCGTGCCTCGCGAGCGTACAAGAGGCTTCTCGCGAGATAAAGAGTCGAGTGAGCCAATGGGATATGTCTCGGAGTCTAAGAAGACTTAGCGTTAAGAAGAAGGGGTGAAGGGAAAAGAGATGAAATAAATATTAAACGGCTGAAGTAAATCGCAGCGTGGGTGCCGGCGGAATGCGGAGTTGAATTTATTCGACGCCGAGAGAAACGCGAGTCTGGTTACTTTGACGCGGAACATTAACGAAAAAAAGGAAAAAGGCGAAAGAGAGACGCAATCTGTGAATTGGAATATACTGTTTTAAATACGCGAGAAAAAATACACGAAATGTCACGAACTGGAGTAAATCTTAACGTGGACCGAAATAAAATAATAGAATGTTAACGAATAAAGAGAAAACGCATGCGCTGCGCGAATGTCTCGCGTATACGCGTATTTTACAACTGGGGAAACTTCAAAAGAGCCGAGAGTCCTCTTTTGTTTCGCGTTACACATTCTCGAGCCGCTGATCAATCGCCGGGTGCGAACATGAGCGATTGCGAAAGATCCTATCGAGGAAATCCTCAGAGGCGCAACAACAAAGTGGTGTTAAGCGCAATCTCGACTTCTTCATCGGGATCTCCGCGACGAGAGTAAGCGAGGATCGTGTTTATGAGACGAATAAACGGGGCCAGGTGTACGTGTGTGCGCGTCGCGCGCTGAGGCGCGAAACGGTCCGCGAAAAATTGTGCGTGTCCCCCGCTGTCAAAATACGGCCATTGAGCGTGATTAACGGGCGCAGCTTTAGCCGATTGGTCGAATAAAAGGCTCCAAAATGAGACCTCGCAGAATCGCCTTCAACGGAGTCCGGCTACCGTCGGCAGGCCGGGGAGGGGGGGAAGGTACCGGAGGCTCTGGGTCAGAAAGAAACCCAACACCTCCCGAATATGAAATCCGGTACGCGTATAACGAGACCCTCCCGCGGTGATGCTTTCAAAAGCGGGAATTGGAGCAGGCAGGGGGATGGGAAGAGAGCGAGCGAGAGAGAGAGAGAGAGGGGGGGAGTGGTGTGCAGGGAAAAATAGAAAGAAAGAAAGGGGGAAATGCAGAAGGGTGGAGGCGCGCAGGTCGAAGGGACAGGAAATATTGGATTTACGCGACGCCTACTCACAATGCAGCGTGCACGATTTTCGTTCGATTCCCGTTCCATGCCGTCGCGTACGTCTCTCGTACGTACCGGGTGCATCAATAGTCCCCGGACGACAGGTCGCCCCGTAGAATGTTGAATTCTCCCCGATGGATCCGCGAGGTGAATGCGACGGGGTCGTATTGGGATTAACGCGCGGAAATAGGGTATACGCAGCGCGTCTCGCAGCGGGGAACGCGACTTTTCCGACGTAGTGTGCTGAGAGCGACTTCAACGAGTCGAAGCCACTCCCGGTCGGTTTGCTTCCTGCCAAAAGAACTTCTCATTATCGGTAAATTTCAAACTTGGAGGCAGCAAAACCGACGTACAGTTTTGTTTTTGAGTTCTAAAGCCTTGTTGAAGGTTTCAAATTAACACGTGCAACCGAGTCGAAATTTAACTTTCATTTTAAGTCTGATTTAATTCCGCATTGTGTTCAAAGGTCTTCTATGAGGCTGAATGCAGAACGAAAATTTCGAGCCTGGGGAACTAAATACCCTCGGTAGCGTTAAAGGAGCACTTATTGTCCTCCTTTGATGCTACAAGCGGGAACTTGTTTTCGGCTACTCCACTCGAAGACTTAATGTGGAATTTGATATTTCGACCCGGGCAGGCGTGTATGCAAACCAGCAACGCTTCCTTACCGAAACGCAGGTTCTCTACGAAAATGTTAACTCAGTTGTGATTACGCAGCGATTATTCCGTCGGAATTCCAACATTCCACGGCACGATCTTACACCGCCACGAGATAAGCGAAGGGCAGCAACGTGTTTTCCGGCTGAGCGTTGAGGACTCCTCCTTATCATTGCTTGCCTCGCTGTCTCAATGTTTCGAGGAATTCTCACGATAGGCACCCGGTGGTGGTTTCTTTTCCAGGCACGGTTAATCGAAAATTCCTTATCCACGATTTTATCCCATCTCGACTGGGAATGCGGCTATGACACGGAATGCTGAAATTCCGGCAGAATAATCGCTGCGTAATCATACAACTGAGTCATTAAAGAAAAAAAGGAAACATTCCTATTATGAATGCACGGTGTACAGCAGTCCACTGCTCCATTGTCATCAAAATGACATCCGTTATGCAAGCGTGCAACGAGTCCGTTTCCTATTTAAATATCAGCGTTACTAACCTATCGCACTTTAAA